GCTTTGAACCGCGATCCTCAGATCTCAGCCTCCTGAGTAGCTAGGATGACAGGCGTGAGCCACCAGCGCCCAGCTCTTACCTTCAAATTAAGCACCAAAAATGATGAAAGTGGGGCTGTGGATCAACTGGTAGAGCGATAGTTGAGCAAAAGTGCTCAGGGACAGCGCCCAGGCCCTGAGCTCAAGCCCTAAGACCAACATCATAAAAACAAAAAACTAAACTATAATTGTTTTCTTCCAGGGAAATCTTAAAAGTTCTTGAAACTGTACGTCAAGAGAAACAGAAAGAAATGGCCAAGTGTGAACAACAGGTGAATTTCCTATTTTTCTGACTCTAGAATTTGTTGTGAAGGCTGTAATTAATTTTTTTCCTGGTATCTAGAGAGATTTGTTATAAAAAAAAAACTTTCAGTTGCTTGGTACTGGTGGCTGGCTATGAACCACGATCCTCAGATCTCAGCCTCCTGAGTAGCTAGGATTACAGGCGTGTGCCACCAGCACCCAGCTGTCCATGAGATTCTTACCTCCAATTAATCACCAGAAAACCAGAAGGGGTGGTGTGGCTCAGAGTGGTAGAGCACAAAAGCTCAGGCACAGTATCCAGGCTCTTTGAGTTCAAGCCCCACAACCAAAAAACCCTATTTCAGCTTTCTTTCAGTGTTGGAAATTAGTTAAAAATATGGAAGGTTTATCTTCCTTTGTTTACTTTCCTGCAGTCTTGGTGATTGTACCTAGGGCCTTGCCCCTGATCTAGGCAAGCAATATACCACTGAGCTACGTCCTTAGTTTTATGAGACCTAGGGTTTCAGTATATATCTCACTGTGGCCTAGAAGTTACTTTGTAGGCTAGGCTTATCTTGAGATACAGACTTAAACCACCACCCCTGAGTATCTGAAATCACACATACCATGATCGTGTCCTTCCTCTCCCCATTCCTCAACACCCTGCCCATCCAGGGGCTTGAACTGTGCATTGTCCCTGAGCTGCTTTTTCTCAAGGCTAGTGCTCTACCACTTTGAGCCACAGTGCCACTTCCAGTTTTTAGTGGATAATTGGAAATGAGTCTCATGGGGACTTTTCTGTGGGGGTTGGTTTTGAACCACAATCCTTAGGTTTTAATCTCCTGAGTAGCTAAGATTAAAGTTGTGAACCACCAGCGCCCGCTTACACTTTGATTTTTTTAATGTATGTGATTTAATTCTTTTTCTAAAAACTTGGTTTTTTTCCCCCCATAGATGGAGAAAGTACAGAAACTAGAACAGAGCTTGCTCGCTACTGAAAAAGTAATCAGTTCTTTGGAAAAGTCTAGAGATTCTGACAAGGTAAGGTGGTAATTTTCTTTCTTCCCCTGTTTGTTTATTGAAACAGACTTTATGTGCCTCAGTCTGGCTTTGAACTCTCCCTAATCCTGACATTATAGGTATGGACTATCACACCTAGCTTTGTTTTTGCGTTTTCTTTGTAAATGCTAGTTTGGTGCTCTAATCTCCTACACCATTGTCTGCTTCCATGTACAGCTAAGCCTTTCTCAGCTTCCAGAAGTGCCAAAGCAGCTGTTGCTGAGCCTGCTGGCTCATGGCTGTAATTCCTAGTTACCTAGGAGTCTAAGATCTGAGGATCACAGAAAATCTGAGCTCTGAGGAAGCCAGCCCTGGCCAAAAAAAAAAAAAAAAAAAGTCTGTGAGACTCTTATCTCCAATTAACCATCAAAAATCCAGAAGTGAAGCTGTGGCTCAAGTGGTAGAGCACTAGCCTTGAGCAAAAAGAAGCTCAGGGACAGCGCCCAGGCCCAATTGTGCACACACAAAAAAGGAGATTTGAGACATCACATAAAGCATACAGCTATTGAAATCTAAATTGCTGCTAATAATTGGATGTTATTTGATATTTGGTAGAATAAAACTGACTTATATTAAGAAAGATATACTGTGATGGATTGTTTAAAAAGTATCTTCATGTTACTGGGTATGAAGATAACTGTCTATTGTCCTCAACAGGAAGTGGTGGCCAACCTCATGAACCAGATCCAGGAGCTCAAAACATCAGGCTGTGAGAAAGCGGAAATCATCAACAATCTGCAGCAAGAACTGAAGGATATAAATGTAAGTTCCGTGACCAGAACGTTAACTGTGAGTGACGTGTGTGTATACTCCAGCTCCTCAAGGGTCTTACAGTTGTTTCCCTCTGTGGGAATTCTGTGATTTAAGTTTAGAAGCAGTACTTCAGGGTTGGGAACGTGGCTTAGTGGTAGAGTGCTTGTCTAACATGCATGAATACTGAGTTCGATTCCTCAGTACCACATCCACAGAAAAAGCCAGAACTGGCGCTGTGGCTCAACTGGTAGAGAGCACTAGCCTTGAAAACAAAAGAAGCTTAGGGATAGTGCCCAGACCCAGAGTTCAAGACTCAGGACTTGCAAAACAACAACAAAAACAAAACCCTAGTACTTCATGTCCAGTTGGTTTCCAAGACTTGCAAGGCTTTTATTGTGCAGAAGACACACCTCTGGGGGCCCTGAAGGCCACCAAACGTCTCAGCTTTCTCGCCTCTCCCTTTTTTTCCTCCATGGGTGGAGGGAAGGCTTCCACCAATGTCTTAGTACTGTTCTGAAGGGAGCTTGCTACCCCACCTTTACTTCTTTCTCTTTTAAATTGCTTTATTGAGATTGATTACAAAAACTTCACAATATTGTGGGATAGTGGTACTTAGCTAAAGTTACAAACACATTTTAACCTTCACAAGGTGAATTGTCATTATGATGGTCTATAAAAGCTTGTGAACTCTACAAACGTTGACAATACAACCATATCTTCCAAATAGGGTGATATGTACATTTCTTTCCTTTTGCCTAGTGGAAGCTGTTCCCTGTTTTTCTCTCATTCCCTCCTTCCCATTGCTGCCTTTGAGTTGCTTAGTTCCTTTTCATCAATGTCCAATGCAGCTGATGGGCCCCTCTGCTGTATTTTTTCATTGTTTCCCTCTGATGTTGTGCCCTCCTGCTAGCTTCCCTCAGATGTGCGCATTTATATACCATCTGGGGGGTCGAGAACATAGAGTCATCTAAAAACAATATGACAAATTAAGAAGAGGGCCTTTGTTTCTTGAGTCTTGTTTACTTGGTCATATCTCCTAGCATTTTGGATTTAACATCCGCATATCAGGGAGACCATGTGCCATTTGTGTCCCTGCTCTTGGCTTATTTTACTCAACTTACGTTCTAGTGCCCTCCATTTCCCTGAGAATTACATTATTTTGTTCTTTCTAACTGATGAGTAATATCCCATTGTATATAGGTACCACAACTTACGGATCCATTCATCTGTAGTGGGGCATCTGGGTTGTTTACATATCTTGGCTGTTGTGAAAAGTGCAGCAATGAACATGGAGGTGCATGTGTCCTTATATCCTGGTTCCTGTTGCTCAGGGTAGATGCCTAGGAGTGGTAAGGCTGGATCATAGGGCAGGTCTATATATTTAGCTTTATGAGGTACCTCCAGACTTTTCCAGAGTGGTTGTATTAGTTTACATTCCCACCAGCAGTGCAATAGGGCTCCTCTTTCTCCGCATCCCCGCCAGCATTTGTCATTGTTTGAATTTAGGATATAGATCATTCTGACTATGATATGGTGGTATCTCAGGGTTATTTATATTTGCATTTCCTTTATGGCCAGGGATGATGAACATTTCCTCATGCATTTCTTTGCCATTTTTATCTCTTCTTCTGAGAAGTCTCTCTTTAGTGCCCTTATCCATTTCATGATTGGTTTGTTAGATTTGGGAGGGATCCGTTTCTTGAATTCTCTGTATATAATGGATATTAGACCTTAGTCTGATATATTTCTGGTAAATACTTTTCCCAATTGGTTGGCTGTCTTTCTAGTTTGGTAGCCATGTCTTTAGCTGTGCAGAAACTTTTTATTTTAAGGTAATCCCATTTGTCGGGTCTCTCTCCAACTTGTTGTGACCCTGGGACTCTGTTCAGGAAGTTCCTGTATGTGCCTGTAAGTTCTAGTGTCTCTCCTACTCTGTCCTGCAGTAGTTTCAGAGTTTCAGGTCTGATGTCGAGGTCTTTAATCCATTTTGAGTTGATGTTAGTGCATAGTGACAGGCTGGGGTTCACTTTTAGTCTTCTGCATGTGGTTGCCCAGTTTTCCCAGCACCAATAGTTGAAGAGGCTGTGCTTCTTCCACTGGATGTTTTCTAATCCACTCTGTGATTCTTTTCCTTTTGATTGGTGAATTGAGTCCATTAGTGTTTATGGTTATTATAGAGAGATGTGTTGTGTTTCCTGCCATTTTCTTGCTTCTTTCCTTTTCCTGTGCTTACTCAATTGATCTAGTGATTTCTGATGTGGTACTCTGGTCTTAACTGTTTTCTTTGGGTTGTATTCCTCCTTTTAGTGTATGTTGTAGTGCTAGCTTCTTGTTTGTGAATTCCTTTTTTTATTTTTTATTAAAAGTTTAGTCCGTGAAACTCTTATCTCCAATAAACTACCAGAAAACTGGAAGTGGCGCTGTAGCTAGCCTTGAGCTGAAGAGCTGAGGGACAGTGCTCAGGCCCACAGTTCAAGGCCCACGACTGACAAAAAAAAAAAAAGTTTAAGTTTCTCCATCGAATGTGAATGCTAGCTGTGCTGGATATACCAGTCTGGGTTGGCAGTGTTGATTTTCAGGGCTTGGATGGTACTTTTCCAGGCTCTCCTTGCATTAAGGGTTTGTGTAGAGAGATCCACAGTGATTCTGGTTTTCTTGCCATTGTAGTATAGCTCCTTTTTTGATTTTTGCAGCATTTAAAATCAGCTCTTTGCAGTTCAGGTCTAGTGTCTTTACTGTGATGTGTCTAGAAGTGTTTCTTCTAGGATCCTATCTACTAGGTGTTTTGTATGCTTCTGTTATGTGAGTGAGGTTTTCTCTTTTGAGATTAGGGAAATTTTCTGTAATAATCTTATTGAATAACTGTTGTATCCCTCTATTCTGGTATTCCTCTCCATTGATCCCAATTATACGAAGAATAGATTTCTTGTCATTGTCTGCCAGTTCTCGGACTTCCCTTTGGTAATTTGAGTGTTTTTTCCATATCTAATACTTTCTTCTCCCAAGCCCCTGTTTTATCTTCAATTCCTGATGTTCTATTTTACATATCATTCATTCTGTTACCTATGGCTTCCATTGTGTTTTGCATTACAGAAATTGATCCATTTATGGTGTCAATATCTTCTTTTATGAGGTTTTACTGCATCTCTTTTTGATTGCATTTTGTTTTTTAGGTCTTGGAATTCCTTGGATATTTCTTCTTTTTGTGCTCTTGAAGTTGCTGTTTTGTCTCACCTTTGTTTCTTTGGCCAATTCTGCCATCATCTCTTTAATTGATCTTTTGTCCTCGGTTTCTTCTTCACTCTCACTGGTGTTCTTTCCTGGGTTGCTGCAGGCTTTTGGGTTAGGTCTGATTGTTCAGAAATCTGGTATTTGGGTTCAGGATTTGTGATGTCTGTGGTCCCAGCTGTGCCTGTTGGTGTCCAACAGGAGGAAGCCCTTGCTTGGCCCGGGCTGGTTCCCAGTGGGTCGCCTAGCCTTCGGGCCACCATGCCTACTCTCTTGGTGGCTCCTGGTGTTGGTGGGTGATCCTACAGCGGCTGGAGCACGCACGTGTTTCGAGGTACCAGTCAGGATCCAGTGGCCTAGGCGGCTTGGGATCCCAGTTGGAGCACACTTGCTTGTCAGTTCCCAGCAGGCTGAGGGTACTCCTCCAGTTGCTGGAGCTCACGTGCCATTCCCCGCTCCAGTCAGAGGCCAGTGACCCTGGCCACTTGGGTTTCTACCCAGGGCACACTAGCTTGGCAATTCCCCGAGGGTGGGAGGCACTCTATGGGCTGCTGGGGCTCACATGTGATTCCCTGCTTCAGAAAGGCTAGTGGCCCAGGCAGCTGGAGTCCTACCTAAGGCATACTATTGGTTGATCCTGGTGGGCGGGGCATGCTCCCACTGGTTGTGTGGTCCTAACCTGATTCCCGGAGTCAGTCAGGGACCAGGGGCTCAGGCAGCCGGAGTTCCCATTCCTGGCAGTTCTCTATGGGCAGGGTCTGCTCCCCCAGCTGTGGGGCACACACACAATTCCCAGCTTCAGGCAAGCCTGCTGTATTTCCTGCCTAAGGCGCTCTCTTGGCAGACTCTGTAGGCAGGGACACTCCATGGGCCACTGGGGCATACTTGCAAATCCTGAGATGAGTCAGGGATTGATGGCCCAGGCCCCATTTTATTTCTACAGGCAATCTTCTGAAGATGACAAAAAACACATGCTTTATGTATGCATACCACTGAAATTTCTCCATTTCTCTTTACCACATGCATTTATACTTCCATTCTTTGATTTACAAATAAAATTAAATTAATTTGTATGAATCTTGTCATCAGCTTGAAATGCACAGTATTGTTGATTTTGGTTTCTTTGTGTGTGTGTGTGTGTGAGAGAGAGAGAGAGAGAGAGAGAGAGAGAGATAAGGGTTTCCTAGGGGCCTTGCTGTCTCTGAACTTTTTTCCCCCCAAGGCAAGCCTTTCATCACTTAAACCACAGCTCTACTTATTGGTAGTTAATTGGAGATCAGAATCTTGCAGCTGGTGCTAGAGGCTCACACCTGTAATCCTAGCAATTCAGGAGGCTGAGATCTGAGGATTGAGGTTTGAAGCCAGCCTGGAAAAAAAGTCTGTGAGACTTATTTCCAATCACACACCAGAAAACAGGAAGAGGAGCTCTGGCTCAATGTGGTAGAGCCCTAGCCTTTAGCAAAAGGACCTGCTCAGGGACAGCACCCAGTCCTTGAGTTCAACCCCTATGACTGGCAAAAAACAAAAAAAGAATGTCACAGACTTTACTGCCTGGACTAGCTTCAAATTACAATCCTCAGATTTAAGCCTCGTGAATCGCTAGGATGACAGGTGTGAGCCACCGGCATCTGGCTTCTTAGTTGTTTTAATATACAGATGAACATAAAAAGTAGACGGCTCTTGTATCATGACTGTCTTTCCTGCAGTGCAAATATAACTCTGCTTTGGCTGAAAAAGAAGAGAGCAAAGATTTGATCAAGAAACAGGAAGCGGATATTCTAGATCTGAAAGAAACTCTTCGGCTGAGAATATTCTCTGAGGACCTTGAGGTAGGCCTTAATATGGCACAAACTATTTTGGCCTTATTATCAGTTACATGGAAGATTTTTTTTAAAGGAGTAATTAGTAATTATAGTAGTAATAAACTATCTCAATTGTTATTTTATAATTTTTTTAATGTCCTTAGTAGCACTGATGACCTTAATAACTAATTATAATGAGGAATTAGCTAATGGTTACTTCCCAAGGGAGGTCAAGCCTTAAAGAGATAACAGTAAAATTGTGTTCCAGACACTGCCCTGTGCTTCACTTTCCCTTGACCTAGTTAATGTTGCCCATTTCTTGTGTGTTCTTTGAGAGATATTTTAGGCTGGTTCTGTATATTTTTACTATGTTTTTTGTTTTTGTTGGTCGTGGGGCTTGAACTCTAGGCCTGAGCACTATCCCTCAGCTCTTCAGCTCAAGGCAAGCACTCTACCACTTGAGCCACAGCTCCACTTCTGGTTTTCTGAGTGCTTTATTAGAGATAAGAGTCTCATGGCCTTTTCTGCCCAGGCTGGCTTTGAATCATGATCCTCAGATCTTAGCTTTCTGAGTAGCTAGGATGACAGGTATGAGCCACCAGGGCCAGGCTATGGTTTTGTTTTGTTTTGTTTTTTTCCCCCTGGTCCTGAGGCTTGAACTCAGTGCCTGGGCACTGTCCCTGAGCTTCTTTGTGCTCAAAGCTAGTGCTCTACCACTTGAGCCACAGTGACACTTCTGGTTTTTTCTGAGTAGATTGTTGGAGATAAGAGTCTCCCAGATTTTCCTGCCTGGGCTGTCTTTGAATCGCAATCCTCAGACCTCAGTCTCTTAAGTAACTAGGATGACAGGTGTGAGCCACCAGCGCCCAGCCACACAGATGGCATTCTGTGTATACTCTTCCTCATTTGCTTTAGAGTAAGGCTTTTCTTGTGAAACTGTTAACTAGAGACCAAGGTCCACAATGCTTGTTTATAAATAGCTACCGTACAGTCTCTGCTTGACCTAGCATTTGGGAATGGACGAAACACAGGAACAGTATGCATTCCACCCTAGGTGTATTACAGTGTTAAAACTGACCCTGATGCCAGGACCTGGTGGCTCACGCCTGTCATCCTAGCTCCTCAGGAGGCCGAGATCTGAGGACTGCGGTTCAAAGCCAGCCTGGGCAGGAAAGTCCTTGGGACTCTTACCTCCATTGAACCACCAAAACACCAGAAGTGGAGGGATGGCTAAAAGTAGTAGAGTGCTAGCCTTGGAGCAAAAAAACACAAAAGACAGCACCCAGCCCCTGAGTTCAAGCTCTAATACTGGCACTCAAAAAACACAATAAAAGAGAAAAAAAAAAAGTCTTTTTTGTGATGGTTCCCTAACAGAGAGACATGGTCTGTGAGGATCTGGCCCATGCCACTGAGCAGCTGAACTTGCTCACGGAGGCCTCAAAAAAGCACTCCGTGCTGCTGCAGTCTGCCCAGGAAGAGCTGACCAAGAAGGAGGCCCTGATCCAGGAACTGCGACATGAGGTGAGAGGCACGGTTGCGGCGGTCCTGGCATTCCCAATGCCTTGTCTACTTCTGCACATATGGAATGATAGCTTCATGGACTAGATTGTGAATCTTGTAGATACACTATGGGCTGGGAACTCAGATCCACCCACGTGTATTGAGTCTTGTTCTAATTAGCCTAATATTATCCATGGAAGATACTGCAAATGACACTTGGCTCCTTTATAAAGGCTGCTTAGTATTCATTTGTGTAGACATACCATATATACTTTACCCATTTATTTTTTAATCAGTGGCCATTTAGATTTTACTCTGTACTTTGACTTACAGATAAATTGCAGTGAACGTAGGAATTACACTCTTTCCATTTCTTTGAGTACACACCCAGAAATAAGATCACTGCTCCTATGGTGGTTCTCGTTCTGGTCAATTTTGCTGGGAGCCTCCATGCCGTTTTTCTACAAGGGCTGCACTAATTTCCATGGTCAGATAGTGCCCGAACATTCCCTATTTTCTTTTTTTCTTTTTTATTTTATTTTATTTTATTTTTGGGGGGTCTGGTCGTGGGGCTTGAACTCTGGGCCTGGGCGCTGTCCCTCAGCTCTTCAGCTCAAGGCTAGCGCTCTACCACTTGAGCCACAGCGCCACTTTCGGCTTTTTCTTTTTGCTTATGTGGTGCTGAACCCAGGGCCTCAGGCATGCAAGGCAAGCACTCTACCACTGAGCCACCTTCCCAGTCCACATTCCCTATTTTCTACATGCATCTCTCTCATCTTTTTTATAAGTTGCCATGCTAGCAGATATGAGATGATACCTTGATACCTCTTTGTGGTTTTGCTTTGATGATGGGGAAGTTTGTCTTTGCCAGTTGGACCCATGTGTGCCTAACTTGTAACCTCTTCCTAGCTAAACCAAACGAAACAGGAAGTAGAGCAGAAAAACAACGAGCATAATTTCACAGAAGAAGAAGAAGTAGTGATAGATTCTGCTACCCAGGTACCTTCTTTTAGTCTTTGGAAACGTTTTTAATCAGTGTATATTGTACAGTGTTGTGACATTTTCCATATACACACCCATGTACCCCAATCAAACTCAGCCCCTCCAATTCTCCCTTATCCAGCTTCCCCGTTCCTTAAAACAATTTCAACAGGTTTGTTTTATTTTCATACATGCATGTAAAGTACTGAAACCATATTCACCCTTCCCCTCAGGTACTTTTCAAAAAATCTTTTTGAAAACTCTGGCCCTGAGCTCTCTAGCTCAAGGCTAGTGCTCTATCACTTGCGCCCTCAGCTCCACTTTTGGTTTCCTGGTGGTTAATTGGAGCTAAGAGTCTCACAGACTTCTTGATTTGAACCACGATCTTCAGACCTCAGCCTCCTGAGTAGTTAGGATTACAAGTGTGAGCCACTGGCGCCTGGCTTAAGACTGTATCTTTATATTAAGAGTTTTTTAACCCCCTAACATGAGTCTGCTTTCCATTGGATAAAGGTAGCAGTCTTTTGTGTCTTGGATAAGAATTAGAATACTAAGCGAATTGGCTTGTGTCTGGGCATATCCTGTGTACTAGATACTTGGAATATACATTGAAAAGCCCATTCTGTGTGTTGGATGTATAGATTTAAAATGAAATCTTTATTGTCATTGGTTAAGATCAAATTTTCTTTGTCTTTAGAGTCCTAAAACACCCCCTCACTTTCAAACACATTTGATGAAAGTCATGGAAACACAGCAGGAACACGAGATCAAAGATGGAAGAGACTTAAAGACTTTGCAATACCTTGTAACAAAACTAAATGAAGACCGAGAAATCAAAAATGCTGACATCCTCAGAATGAAGGTATTTGGGTGATTTTTTTTTTTTTTTTCTAGCACGTTTTTTTTTTGTTGGTTGGTTGTGGGCCTAGGCACTGTCCCTGAGTGCTTCAGATCAAGGCTAGTGCTCTACCACCCCAAAACTTCTGGTAAACATTAATACACATTAATCTTATGTTCAAGGCACTGTGGGTATGATTATGAATCATTTTTCGATCTCCAGAGGCTGTTACGGTCTGTATTTTATCCAATGATCCCCGGTAGTTTTATGTGCAGAAAAGGAACCTAGATGAAGAGTATCTGCCTTGGTCATAGGGAGAGAGGAACACATTATCTGTCGTGTGGTATAGTGTAGAGTATATGTTACAGTGTACTCCCCATGTGTTTCCTTGTTTTTTGCTTGTTTTTGTCAGTCATGGGGCCTGAACTCTGGCCCTGGGCGCTGTCCCTCAGCTCTTCAGCTCAAGGCGAGCACTCTACCACTTGAGCCACAGCACCACTTCCAGTTTTCTGAGTGGATTATTGGAGATAAGAGTCTCATGGTCTTTCCTGCCCAGGCTGGCTTTGAACCATCATCCTGAGATCTCAGCTAGGATCATAGGCGTGAGCCCCCAGCACCCGGCTTCCCCAGGTGTTTTCTGAAAGGCATGATTTGGTGTGTTCTTAGGAGCAGTTGTGTGAAATGGAGAACCTACGCCTGGAGTCCCAGCAGTTAAGAGACAAAAACTGGCTCCTTCAAGGCCAGCTGGATAATATTAAAAGACAGAAGGAGAGCAGGTGAGAAAAAGCCACCAGAACTCAGTGGAATCGTGTCGACCTGCCTGAGTCTAGTTGTGTGAAGAGATTGCGTCAGACACATCTAGAGAAGCCCATGGCATTCAGGCAGGTTCTCTAAGAGGAGAAGAGATTGTCTGACCAGCCCCAGGACTGCCCACACAGCTCAGCTTCTCCTGACTGGGTGGCTCTGGGTGATGTGGGTGCCATCCAGAGGGTGCTGGTCTTGCCTTCTTTATGGAACATTCCTTCTCCACCAAGAAATTCATGTCTGGGACTTGAGATATGCCCCAGCGACTCCACAGGAGTCAGTGGAAAATGCTAAATGATGAGAGAATGGAAGCAAAAAGAAATTGGAGGCTCCAAGGTGTCAGGCGAGTGTGGGACCAATGAAACATAGCTGCCACAAGCCAAAACCCCTTTCTAGTTCGTGCCAGCGCTGGCCTGCCCTCTTAACCCGCCTCATGTTCACTCTTCCTTTTGTGTGTGTGCATGTGTGGGCACACCAGTCCTGGGCCTTGAACCTCAAGGCTTTTTTACTCAAGGCTAGCGCTTTACCACTTGAGCCGCAGCTCTGCTTGTGGATTTTTTGGTGGTTCATTGGAGATAACAATCTCATAGACTTTCCTGCTTGGGCTGACTCTGAACCATGATCCTCAGCTCTCAGCCTCCTGAGCCGCTAGGCTGATAGGCATGAGCCACTGGCGCCCGGCTTGATACTGCTGTTGTGCTGGGAGAGATTTGAGTTGGTTTCTGGGAAGATCCTTCACCATATATAGACTGCTCATGGGTGGGCCCTAATCATGTTGCTTCTCTTCACATAATTTGGTATTGCTGTGCATAAGGTAGAAATTGATCCTTAAATAGACTTGACTGGATAACCCTATCTATCCCCTTCATCTGCAGTGATCAGAATTATCCAAACCACCAAGAGTTGGAGAGTAAAGAAGATGTCATCAGAGAAAGTCTTGCTAATGTATGGTATTTTTATGCAGTAGTTTTTTTCTGGGAAAAATGCTTTATAATTAACATTTATAGCTAACGTCTGTGCTTCACTGCTATAATCCTAGCTGCTCAGGAGTCTGAGATCTGAGGATCCCGTTTTGAAGCCAGCTCCACCAGACAAATTCTAGAGGCTCTCTTAGCTCAAGTTAACCACCAAAAAGCCAGAAGTGGAACTGTGGCTTGAACAATAGAGAGCCAACCTTGAGCAATAAAACACCTCAGGAACAGTGCCAGGGCCTTGAGTTCAAGCCACAGTTCTAGCACCAAAGAAAATTAATTTTAACATATATGTTTATTTATTTTGGAAGTCATTTTTCCATTGAAAGCCGGTCTTCTCTGCAACCCTGCTATTTAGCCTGATATGTACCTGTAGTATTTACACATGGCTAAGAAGGAAGAGGAGGGGCTGGGAAGGTGGCTCAGTGGTAGAGCGCTTGCCTTGCATGCATGAGGCCCTGGGTTCAATTCCTCAGCACCACATAAGCAAAAAGAAAAAGCCGGAAGTGGTGCTGTGGCTCAAGTGGTAGAGTGCTAGCCTTGAGCTGAAGAGCTGAGGGACAGCGCCCAGGCCCAGAGTTCAGGCCCCACGACCAGACCCAAAAAAAAAAAGAAGGAAGAGGTGTGTGTCTTCATGCTTCTTCGGGATGCCCACAGATACTGCGACATGTAGAACAAGCAGGGAGACTAATTGGATCATAGCACCTGGAAGCTTGTGTATTGGCACCTTTGTATGGGTCTAGCTGGGATTATAGAAAAGGACACTGGTTTTATTAACAAGAAGAGTAGGCTTCATGAAAGAATAAGCCAGCATAGTGTTACATGCCTGTAATCCCAGCAGGCAGAAGAAGCTTGAATATGAGGCTAGCCTAGGCTGTATAGTTGAAGCCTATCTCAAAAAGCAAAACAAAATAAAAATTCAAGACCCCCAATTCAACCATCTTTTTAATGTTGTTTTAAATTTTTCAAATTTTCTTATTTATAGAGTAAAATTTTTGAAGAAATGCTGAAAATGAAAAAAAAGTAAGTGTGTTATTTTGTAGTCCACATTCTTGATAATAATGTCTTTATTCTTTCCTAATGGGAAATACATCCACGAGGTATGTCATTTCTTTCCTTCTGTGTATATGTGAACATAATTAATGTTTACAAAATTATTTTCCTGATGCCACTTGTTCAAGGGAATCCTTTAGTGTAAAGGTGCCATAAAAATATCCTAAAGAAATAAGTACATACGGCTGGGCACTGTGGTCATGCCTGTAATCCTAGTTACTCAGGAGGCTGAGATCTGAGGATCGCAGTTGAAAGCTAGCCCAGGCAGGAAAGTCTGTGAAACTCTTACCTCCAAATAACAACCAGAAAAGTGGAAATAGTGCTGTGTCTCAAATGGTAGAGTGCTAGCCTTTGCTGAAGAGCTCAGGGACAGCACTGAGGCCCAGAGTTCAAGCCCACGACCCTCCCCTCTTCTCCCCGCACCCCCCCCCAAAAAAAAAAGTGTATGTGTAAGGCATTTATTAGTGGCTGATACCTCATTCAGGAGGCTGAGATCTGAGAACTGTGGTTCAAACCCTTCCTGGGGAGAAAACTCCCCAAAACTCTTATTTCCAATTAACCAACACAGAGCCAAAAGTGGAACTGGTGCATTAAGTTTTGTGTATTATTTCATTGCAGTAGACAATATCCCATTCCACACGCACTGTTCCTGTTGGGCAATTTTTCCCCAGTGCTGGGGACAGAAGCCAGTGCCTTACGCATGCCAGCACCCCAGTACTGAGCTACACCCAAAATCCTAGGTATCTTCTTTGGCAACTTTACAGGAGAGCTGAAGATTACTGATACTTTTTCAAATCAGAAGTCTAAGCTGGAGAGATTTAACTTGAGTGACGTCTTGTCATTCTGTTCCTTGGAATACCGAGAAGTGATGTTTATACTTACAGTCTAGAAGAAATCCAAAATGCCCTGCACAGCAAGGAGATGGAATGTCTTCGGATGAGTGAGGAAGTTGAGCGGACCAGAACTTTGGAGTCTAAAGCATTCCAGGAAAAGGAACAACTGAGATCAAAACTGGAAGAGATGTATGAAGAGAGAGACAGAACATTACAGGTGTGTTCGTGTTCCACAGTACTTTTGCATATTTAAATAAATACAACTGATCAAGAACATAACAACTTGTACATCTCATTGTTGCGATGGGTCCACCTGTATCCCTATTTAAACGATTTGTTTTTTCCCTTCCCTATACAACTTTGGTGAGGGGGGGGGCCACGGAGGAGGATTGGGTTGGGGAGGGTGGGGGGAGGATAGGAAGGGGAAACAAAGGAGGAGGCTACAATGCTTGATAAGAAATGTACTCATTATCTTGCCCATGTAATTGTAACCCCTCTGTACAGTATTTTCACAATAAAAAAATAATAATTAAAAAAATTTTTTAAAGAAAAATTTTGGCTGGGCTTGGTGCCTCATGCCTGTTATCTTAGCTATTCAGGAGGCTGCTGAGGATTGAGGTTCAAAGCCAGCTCAGGCAGGAAAATCTGAGACTCATCTCCAATTAACCACCAAAAAGCCAGAAGCAGAGGTGTGAACCAAGAAGTTGAGCACCACTCTTGTGAAAAAGCTAAGGGACAGTACCCAGGCCTTCCACTACCAGCAGAAAAAGAAAAGACAATTATGTCCAGTTTCTCATTTTCCCTTTCTTGGATTGATTTCCCTGAAGGAGATAGAACTGTTGCGGAAGCAAGTCAACTATCTCTCAGAAGAAAACGGGAAATTGGTCGGTCACCAAAACCTACATCAGAAGATTCAGTATGTAGTGCGGCTGAAGAAAGAAAATGTCAGGCTTGCTGAGGTAAACTCTGAAAACATTCTCAATTTTTTACCACTCTTTTCAAAGTGATCGTTTCGTCAAAAATAGAGTTAGGGCTGGGGATATGAGTCCAGTGGTTAGAGGGCTTGCCTATTAAACACAGGTCCCTGAGTTGAGACCCTACTCCCTCAATCAATCAAAAAAACTTAATGTTTAAGCTGGGCATAGTGTCACACACCCGTAATCCCAGCACTTGGGAGGCTGAGACTGGAAGATTGAAAGTTCCAAGCTAGCTTGGGCTACAAAACAATATCCTGCCTTTATAGTGAAAAAAAAACAAAAAGTGATAATTAAATCAGTTAACTCTTACTTTAGCTTTCAAGAATTTCAAAGAATGTCTTGATTTTTTAAAAATGTTAGTCACTGCTATTCTAATGTTATACAGTTAAATTCTCAAAGATTTTTTTTTTTTCCCATGAAATGCTAGGTATCAAAACCCAAGGTCTAGGTCTAGGCTGGGGGTGTGGCTTGGGTGACTAGCATGCACATTGAACTATATCTCTTATTCCTAGATGCCAGATTGTCTTATGTTAATTAACAAATTTAGTATTTGCATTTTGACACATAATTAATGTCAAGAAGAATAGTATTCTCTATAAGAACTTAGAGCTTTGATTTTTTTTTTCCTTCCCCCTCTCCTTTCCTCCTTTCTTTTTTAAAATTACTTACAGGAGACAGAAAAGTTGCGTGTTGAAAATGTATTTTTAAAAGAAAAGAAAAAAAAGGAATTATAACGATCATGGCCAACTCCTGAAGCATCACCTTGTTCGGAGAATTTTTTTTTGTTTTTTCACAGTTGTAAAGAGTTGATGTAGCAGAGAAAGTAAAAGGCACTCAGGAGACTGAGCAACAGGACCTGGAAATGATTGTCCCAAATTTTGTTTTCTTTCTCTTTAAAAGTAAGAACTACTCTTACCCACAGAGTAGAGCTCAATTAAGGCCCTTCTTTACAAAATGTGTGCATGGTGGTCGTGGATGACCCTTGACTTCTAATGAGCACTCTGCAACAGACCAGCCCATTTCCTGTAAATACGGGAAAGCACTTTGTCCTGTTTGAAATAAAGCATGTACCTGATTCTGTGTTAGCTCTAACAGTAGTATATGGTGGTGCTAAAATTTGAAGTGAGCTTGATCCCTTGATTTTGTAGATAATTTTTGTTAATATAGATTATTTTTGTATTATGAGCATTTTCTATGATGTGGCCCATGTTTTGAATAAATTTGTTTACAACAAAACACTCTAACAAAGTGATCCACATTGTTCTTTTGCGTGATACACATTGTTCTTTTGCTTATTAGTAAATGTGCTGCTGAAGCAAAAATATCTTAAGCCATCGTTGAAGTTTATTTTTCCCAATAAATGTGGGGTGAGATATCTCTTCCCTTCCATTCTGTGCTAGTTCAGTCAGCTCATTCTTGCACTGATTGGAATTTTGGTTGCTTGTGTATGTGTGTCTGTGTCTGTTTATGGGCATGCACATACACGCAAGCAGTACCTAGAGACAGAGCCTTGATTTTTTTTTTTTAATATATATAGCTCAATGTATCTCAAACTCGTGACCCTTCTCCCTCAGCCTCCCAAGTGGTGGGATTTCAGGCCTACCTCACCAAGTCCAGCTGAAGGATTATAATCAAACCATAGTCTGTTCAATTAAATGTAGCCAGGGCATGAGCCAGTCACAATATTCAGTAATGGCAGGCACAGAAGAAGCAAAGACATAAGGCTCCGGCTCTGACAGCCTTGTGGAGTCAAGTATACAGCAAGATGCTTTAGAGCAAGGAGGAAAGTGGAGTACTTTGACCAGAATCCCTGGCACTTCAGGAAGCCTTTGAGAAATGCAGTTGCTCAGGCCTGTCATCCTTAGCTACTCATAAGGCTGAGATCTGAACAATATTGGTCTGAGGCAAGCCATTACAGACTGAAAAGTCTTTAAGACTCATTCCCCAAAATAACCAGCAAAAAAATGCAGGGTTGGAGGCATGGCCCAAAGGGTAGCTCACCCAGCCAAACAAGCAAGAGAATCTACCCCAGACACTAACTAAAGTAACAGTTTTGATTACAGCTATAGATCTGTCAGGAGTTGTGCAGTACCTGGAGCTGAAGCACCCCTCCACCCTCCATTTTACTAGGCACACACTGGAGAGAGAGATGGATGGCTATTAAGAGTATCTGAGTCTGCACAGCCAGGATTGGGCAATTCTAGCAAGCTTTTACGGGGTGACACTGGGACCACATTATTAAGTGATGTTAGAAAAAAGTTTTCTCAAGATGTTGGGGTGTCATGTAGGGATAAAGACACTAACTCAAAAGGAACTCGGCAAGGCAGAGTTTTTGTCCTGGGCTTGAACTTGGCTTGGGTGCTATCTCTGAGTCTCTTTGTGTCCAAGGCTAGGACTCTACCACTTGAACCACCGTGCCACTTCTGGCTTTTTCTGAGTATATTGGAGATAGAGTCTCTGAGTATATTGGAGATAGAAGGCTTTCCTTCCCAGGCTGGGTTTGAATCACAATCCTCAGATCTCAGCCTGAGTAGCTAGGATGAGAGGTATGAGGCCCCAGCACCCCACTGACAAAGTTTATTTCTACAGAATGGTGCCCTAGTGTCCAAAAATCTAGCAAGCAGGCACACAGAACAGGCAGGTTGCTCCCTTTTTTAATCTCTAACCCAACAGGCCCTGGCCCTCCCATTGGCTTAGGTCAGGTTCACAATCTGCAAAACAGGATGGGATTAAAATTCAAGGACCTTCTAACCGGCTGTCTTTGTTAAAGTGCTCAAGAAAGAGATATATGGGGCTGAGAATGTGGTTTAGAGGTACAGTGCTTGCTTAGCATGCATGAAGCCTTGGGTTCAATTCCTTGGTACCACATACACAGAAGTGATGTGGGGGTTCAAGTGATAGAATGCTAGCTAGCCTTGAGCAAAAGAAGTTCAGGGACAGGGCCCAGGGCCCTGAGTTCAAGTCCCAGGACTGGCAAAAAAGGAAGGAAGAAAGAAAAAAGGAAAGAGATGTATGTAACCAAAATGGGATTAATAAGGTCCAAGCCAGGCACCTTGTGGCTCATGTCTGTCATCCTAGCTACTCAGGAGGCTGAGATCTGAGGATCACTGTTCAAAGCCAGCCTGGGGCAGGAAAAGCCGGAGATTCTTATTGCCAATAAACTTCTCAGAAGAAGCCGGAAGTGGTGCTGTGGCTCAAGTGGTACAGCCCTAGCCTTGAACACAAAGGAGGCTCAGGGACAGAGCCCAGGCCCTGAGTTCAAGCCCCAGGACAAGCCAAAAAAAAAAGGTCAAACCACCAGGCCAAAGCAGAACCCTTTTAGAAAAACAATTCTCTCAACATTGGCAACAAAAAAAAGAAGTAATCTACTTAGATAGAAAAGACCCTTTTCTCACAATGGCCAACGTGGAAGCCACCTTCTCCCAATCAACAACCATCCGGCACCTGACCAGCGCAGACTGCAAGAGCTTCAGTCTTCATTTTTCCCGCCATCCTTCGCGCCGGCCCGAGATTGGCCCCGCCCTCTGTCCGCTTAGCCCCGCCCTGGGAGGCTTAGGCCCCGCCCCTGGGATTCAAAACGAACCACCCAGCGGGGCTTCGGTCTCTATCCCCGAACGCCCTGCGCATGCTCGTTGCTGGCTCCGCCTCCCAGCGCTCTGAGTGGTGGCTTTCCCTTACGTCAGCTCTGCGCCCGGCGCGTCATGCGCAGTGCGCGGAGTCCAGCTGGCGGCTAGAACGCTGTGGGCGTCATGGCGGCGAGGACGCTGTCCTCGCGCGGCGCGGGCCCTGGCCCTGGCCCTGGCCCTGGCCCTGGCCCTGTGTCGGCCACCGCTTACCCCGACACACCGGCCGAATTTCCCCATCACCTCCAGGCCGGCGCGATGAGGCGCCGCTTCTGGGGCGTGTTCAACTGCCTGTGCGCCGGCGCGTTCGGGGCCCTGGCCGCCGCCTCCGCCAAGCTGGCCTTCGGCCGCGAGGTGCAGCCCGGGGCGCCGCTGCTGCGGGCGGGGCGGGCGGCGGAGGGCGCTGCGGGGCCCGGGGGCGGCGCGCGCGGAGCTGGGCGGGCTGGGGGAAGCCTCCCGCACCCCGACTTCGCCATCACCCCCACACCCACCCCGGCCCCCTCGTCCGATGTGTGCGGCGGGAGACGCCGGGGACTGAGGCCTCCTCCTCCTCCTCCTCCCTTCCCTCGGGCGGGGAGCAGCTCCATCTCCCATCTGACATTTATTGCCCCCCCCCCACTGTGCTCGGCTTTCCTCGGCATGTTGACTCTTGAAGGTGAGAAACCTGTTGCCCGTCTTAGTTGTTAGTCCTCCATTCCCCTTCCATCCTTCCTTGCTCCCGCTGGCCAGTCTACCTGCTCAGCCAGGAAAATTGAGCATTTGGGGATTACCCCCCCAAGTATCGGCAAGATTGAAAAAAACATCGTTGTGGTCACAGGCCCCTGGGCGGCTTATCTCCCTGCTCTACCCAATTCAGGGGGGTACTAGATGGGCCTCGGCTTAGTTGGAGGCAGGAGGGAGGATTCATTCGGTGCAGGTAGGCCCTGAGCTGGATGAGGAATGACTGGTTATTTAAATTTCAGCCCTTCCCAAGGTTGAAGTTAGTATTCTGTTCTTAGGTTAAACAAAACAAAAAAAAATCATTGGATCATAAAGGGTTTTGTATTGTCTTTTTTAAAAAAAAGAGTCCGTTTGGGCTGGAAAGATGGCTCAGTGGTAGAGTGCTTGCCTTGCATGTATGAGGCTCTGGGTTCAATTCCTCCAGCAGCACATAAGCAGAAAAAGCCAGACGTGGCGCTGTGGCTCAAGTGGTAGAGCACTGGCTTTGAGCTGAAGAGCTGAGGGACAGTGCCCAGGCCCGGAGTCCAGGCCCCATGATTGGCCAAAAAAAAAAAAAAAGAGTTCGTTTTTGTGTGTGTGAACTTGGGGCCTAGACACTTGTCCCTTTAGCTCTTTCCGCTGAAGGCTGGTTGGTGTTTCTACCACTTAAGCCACAGCTCCACTTGCAGGGTTTTTTTTTTTTTTTTTTTTTTTTGCTGGTCCATTGCAGGTAAGAGTCTCGACAGCCTTTCTTGCCCAGGCTGACTTCAAACTGTCATCTCAGCCTCCTGAGTAGCCAGGATTACAGGCATGAAGCACTGTTGTCTGATTTTTTTTTTTCCTCCCACCCCACTCTTATTTTGGTCTTGTCTTCATAACCAGAAGATCAGGCTGCCACTAGTCCATTGGTTGCCCCTTCCCAAAACATGCTAGAAATTCAGCTTTTGGGAAAACGAATAGAACAATATATGGGCCCATCCTTGAAGAAAGTTGTTTTGTCTGTGTTTATTCACTTGTACCAAACAGATCCACATAACCTGTGTGTGAAAGCTTCCTTGCTAAAGGTTTTCTCTTTCATTAAAAATAAATAGTTTTAAGGGCTGAGAATGTGGCTTAGTGGTAGAGTTCTTGCCTAGCATGCATTGAAGCCCTGGGTTCAATTCCTCAGTACCACATAAACAGACAAGGCTGGAAGTGGTGCTGTGACTCAAGTGGTAGAGCACTAGCTTTGAGCAAAAGCAGTTCAGGGACAGTGCCTAGGCCCTGAGTTCAAGCCCCAGGACTGGCAAAAGATAAAAATAGTTTTAAAACAAATAGTGGGCTGCTGGCACCAGTGCCTCATACCTGTAATGCTAGCTACTCAAGGAGCTAAGATTATGATTAAAAGCCAGCCTGGGCAGTAAAGTCTGTGAGACTATTCCCAACTAAGCACTAAAAACCCGGAAAGTAGAGCTGTGGCTCCTATGGTAGAATGCTAGTCTTCCTCTTCTCCCCTCTCCCTTTTTAGATTTCCCTTTCCCCTCTCCTCCTCCATTTTTTTTTTCTGTGAGCTTGAACTCGGCCTGGGCACTGTCCCTGAGCTCTTTGGCTCTACAGCTCTCCACTTTGACTTTGAGCCACAGCTCCACTACACTGTCTAGTCTTAAGAAAAAGCAAAGGGGGGGGGGGACCCTCGGACACACCTAGGCCCTGGGTTCTAGCCTGAGGACCAGTACCAAAATAGATAGGACCTGCAAGTTTTCTAAGCAATGCCAGAACAGCCCAGATAGCCCTAGACAGACAGGGTTTTTGTCTGTGCCAAACAGAGCACGGAGAACATTTGCCTGAGTTTGAATCTTGTCTGCTTTCCCCAGTTCTAGGTAAGTTCTATAGTACCTCTGTAAAATGAAATCAAGGAGTCAACAAGAATGTCTTGAAAACATTTGGCACAAATTCCAGCACAGAGGAAAAACTCAAGAATGCTCAGAGCAGCTCACCTGAGTGCAGAGAGTTAGGCATGAGGCACAGATGGCTCATTTATGCTTGACCTGACCCCAGGAAGGAAAGACCCTTCCTTGACCCTCTCATACACATATCAAATAGTTGCAGCCCAGCTGTCTGGGTCTTAGCGTCCAGACCTGGTTCTTGTGGGATCAGTAAAGGATTCCACTGTTTAGCAGAAACGACTAGGTCTGGACTGGCCACTGGTGGCTCATGCTTATCATCCTAAGTACCAAGGAGGCTGAGATCTGAAGATTGTGGGTCAGAACAAGTCTGGGAAGGAAAGTCCCTGAGATTCTTTATCTCCACTTAACCATCAGAAACTTGGAATGACATTGTGGCTAAATGTGGTAGAATGGTAGCCTTGAGCAAAAAGAGCTCAGGGAAAGCCAGGTACTGGGGGCTCATGCCTGTCATCCTGGCTACTTAGAAGTCTGAGGATCATGGTTTGAAGCCAGCTTTAGCATTAAAGTCCAGACCTTTTTTTTTTTTGGTGCCAATCCTGGGTCTTGAACTGAGGGCCTGGGTACTGTCCCTAAGCTTTTGCTCAAGGCTAGCACTCTACCATTTGAGCCACGGTGCCACTTCCAGCTTTTTCTGTGTATGTGGTACTGAGGAATTGAACTCAGGGCCTTAGGCATGCAAGGCAAGCACTCTACCATGAAGCCACCTTCCCAGCCCTCCATGAGACTTTTTATCTCCAATAAAATACTCAGAAAAAGCTGGGAATGGGGCTGTGGCTCAAGTGGTAAAGCACTAGCCTTACACAAAAGAAACTCCAGGATAGTACCCAGCCCTCGAGTTCAAGCCCTATGACCACCAACAACTAAAAGACTCCATGTGGATGACCATTTTGCTACTAAGGTCACTCACATGGGCAGCAAAGGTTTTTCCCTGAGTTGGCTCTGCTGCCCACTAAGGGCTCAGGAAGCTGTGTACTGGGACAGGGGTTGGGGCTCAGTAGACATCTGACCACAGCAGCTCTGGCCTGGCCATGACCGCAGTAACACTTCTCTTGCAGGTGAACATGGGACTGTGCGTCTTAGGTATTATCACCATGGCGAGTACCAACTCTCTGATGTGGACCTTCTTTAGCCGGGGCCTCAGTTTCTCCATGTCTTCAGCCATTGCCTCTGTTACTGTGACTTTTTCTAACATCCTCAGCTCGGTGAGTACCCCCAAGGGCATGGTACCCTTGTCCGAAGCCTAGGTTCTAAGTGGATTGTCCTTGGGGGGACCCTGCTCCTTTCCCAGACAAGAGAAAGCACAGGAAAGGAAGTAGAGGTTGGATGTGGAGCAGTTTCACAGAGAAGTCTTGGCTTGGGCTGTGGTGGCTCACGCCTGTCATCCTAGTGACTCAGGAGGCTGAGATCTGAGGATTGTGGTCTTGAAGCCAGCCAGGCCAGGAAAGTCTATAAGACACTCCTATCTCCAATGAACCACCCCCAAAACCAAAAGTAGACCTGTGGTTCAAAGTGTTAAGAGCACTAGCCTTGAGCAAAAAAGCTCAGAAAGGTCCTGCGGGGCCTCGGTGGCTCACACCTGTAATCCTAACTACACAGGAGGCTGAGATCTGAGGATTGTGATTCGAAGCCAGCCAGGGAAGGAAGGACCCTGTGAAACTCTTTATCTCCAATTAACAACTCAAAAACCATAAGTGGGGCTCAAAAGTGCTAGCCTTGTGCTAGAGTGCTAGCCTTGAGCAAAAGACCTCAGGGACAGCGCCCAGGCCCTGAGTTCAAGCCTCACAACCAACAAGAATAACAAAAAGCTCCAAGGGCTGGGAATGTGGCTCAGTGATAGAGTGCTTGCCTAGCATGCATGAAACCCTAGGTTCGATTCTTTAGTACCACATACACAGAAAAAGCTGGAAGTGGCACTGTGGCCCAAGCGGTAGAGTGCTAGCCTTGAACAAAAAAAGCTCAGGGACAGCACCCAGGCCCTGAGTTCAAGCCTTAGGACTGGCAAAAAAGAAGAAAAGAAAAGCTCAGGTTCTGAGCCCCACAACCAACAACAAAAACAACATAGAATTTTTACGAAGTTATACGAGTGAAACCTGACTGTCAAAAGTCTATGTATAATAAGCCAGGTGCTGGTGCCTCACGCCTGTTACCATAGCTACAAACGACATTGAGATCTGAGAGTCCCCGTTCAAAGTCATCCAAAGCCGGAACATCCTTGAGACCCTTACCTGCAGATTAACTGCGAAAAGGCTAGAAGTGGCGGTGTGGCTCCAGGGGTAAGAGAACCAGGCGCAATGTGAAAAAGTTAAGGGGGGAGCGCGCAGGCCGAGTTCAAGCCCTAGGATGGGTACACACGCAAAAAGCCTGTGTACTTGCTGACCCTCCAGGCAGCGTAGCTGGCTCCCAGTGTGGAACATCAACGCCCCAGTAGTCGGTCCTCAAGAGAGAGTTGAGCGGTCAGTCCTGAAGAGCATAGAAGGCCGCAATTGCCTAACTAGGGTCAGAAATCTCTTAGGAGCCCAGTGTTTCCTGGGAAACACCTGCTGGGCTGCCACTGGACTTCCTCAAAGGCTAAGGCCCTCCCTGCTCTCTCTGCCCACAGGCTTTCCTGGGCTACGTGCTGTATGGAGAGTGCCAGGAGGTCTTGTGGTGGGGAGGTGTGTTCCTCATTCTCTGTGGACTCACCCTGGTCCACCGGAAGCTCCCGCCCACCTGGAAGGCCCTCCCACACAAGCAACAGTAACCTCCTGGCTGGAAGGACTCGTGAAAGGTGACCAGGGCTCTGCGGCCTTGGGTTGGTGTTCGCCACCACTTCCAGAGTGGCCTGGACACCCAGCCCTCCAGTCGGTGGCCACAGGGAGATGCTGGAGCAGCCAGGCCAACAGGCCAGCCCCGATCCCAAGAGATCAGGCCTCTGGCCGCACAGCCTTGAGGGTGGTACTGTCATGCTGGCCTCTGCCCTCCACCCAACATGTGGAGAGTGCTTTGATTCTTTGCCCACTGCCAAAACAACCTCAGACCAGCTGTGCGTCTGTGTGGCTCACGCCTGTCATCGTAGTCCCTCAGGAGGCTGAGATCTGAGAGTCGCGGTTCAAAGGCAACTCCGGGCAAGAAAGTTGGTGAGACTCTTTCTCACCAGTGAACCATCAGAAAACCAGAAATGGTCGAGCGCTAGCCTTGAACGCAAAAGCTCAAGGACAGCACTTAGGCCGTAAGTTCAAGCCCCACTACTGACCAAAAACAAAACAAGACAAAAAGCCTTGGAGCCCTGGCACAAGCTGAGATCCTGGGTGGCTCAGCTTTGTGTGCGACACAGTTCCTAAAACCATGCTGTCTGTCCTGATCAAGGCCTCTCTGCGCCCTGCCGGGGCCTTCTGCATGGCGCCATGCTGCGGGGCTCCAGCCCGCTGCATGCCTGGCTACGGGAGCCAGAGAACGGAAACGAGTTAATAAATGTTGTGTTGTTTTGTTTAGTTGTGTTTTCAGTTAAAGCTATAGAATCTTAATTCTACTTTTTGGAGCCACCAGTGTGAGCTGAAATCTGTGGAGCAGAGCAGGTGGCATTGTGTACAGTGCCCAGGCCAGGGCCCTGGGAAGCATGAAAACTGGGTCAATCAAGGAGGACAGTATGGCCTTCCATTAGAGCCCCTGATCATTTTCCTTCCTTGGAAAAGGAGGTGGCCCAGAACGCACCCCATCTTTCATATGACATCTCATCAGGAGACATGGACAGAAAACGGCATTCAAAACCTTCATCTCAGCCTGGGAAGGTGCCTCAGTGGTAGAGCGCTTGCCTAGCAGGCATGAAGCCCTGGTTCGATTCCTCAGCACCACATACACAGAAAAAGCCTGAAGTGAATCTGTGGCTCAAGTGGTAGAGTGTTAACATTTGAGCAAAAGAAGCTCAGGGACTGCCCAGGCCCTGAGTTCAAGCTCTGTAACCGACCAAAAAAAAACACTAAAACTTCTTAGTTTCATGGAGACCCAGACTAAGATATGGTTTCCATTGATCCACCTTGCTGGGGGACAGCTTGCCAGCCACCCCAGAGCAAGGGTATTTCTGTTCTTATCCTCAGAGATGGGTGGAGGGTGTCATTCGCCCGGGGTCACCCAGCTAATGAGGACTTTAGTGCTTTGACCGTCTCAACCCGTTCTGCCTCCGCAGAGCACCGCCAAGCCCGCAGGAAGCCATGGTGCACTGCTAGAGCATGAGAGCTGTCGTGGCTCTCGGCATCAGCCACCTGTGTGTAGTCTCGCCTCGTCATTCTGACCACTCAGGGAGAGCAAGGCTCCCGCTAGGGGGCTGTTCCCCCGCAAGCCACGCCCCCAAGCCACGAGCACCAGTGAAAGAGCTGAACTAATCAGTGGTACCAGCAGGGCACCAGGTGATGCAACCTGCCAATCTACCCCTCAGGAAGCCGAGATCTCAAGGATGGCGGTTCAAAGCCAGCTCAGGCAGGAAAGTCCCTGAGACTTTTTAGCTCCACGGAACCACCAGAAAACCAGAAGTGGAGCTGTGGCTCAAAGTGGGAGAGCATTAACCTTAAGTGAAAAGGCTCAGGGACAGTGTCCAGACCCCCAAGTTCAAGCCCCATGACGGACCAGGAAAAAAAAAAATCAGTGATAGGACTTCCCTGGGGAGGGAAGTCTGGGGAGAGCTGGAAGGAAGAAGGCCATCTTGGAGCCAGCCTTGGTCTTCAGGGAACCTGGCCTCCCATCCAAACACCTGCTGATACAGAAAGAGCCAGTGTTGATTTAAGATGCTCTGACTTGAATCAACAGATAAAGCTTCCAGGAAGAGCACAAGATAGCGATAGAAGGTGCTTTCCCAAGGGGAAGATGACTCCCCCGCTCCGACCCCCAGGAAGCAGCTCAGGATGCGCTGCATTATCTCAGGCAGGGAGCATTCGCCATGTTCCTTCCAGAGGCCATGTGGCCTCCATGTGATTCCATTCATTCAAATACTTGAGACACCACTTAGTAAAGAATATCAAGGCTGGGCAGGTGGCTCAGTGGTAGAGTGCTCGCCTAGCATGCAATGAAGCCCTGGGTTCAGTTCTTCAGTACCACATACACAGAAAAAGCCGAAGCGGCGCTGTGGCTCAAGTGGTAGAGTGCTAGCCTTGAGCAAAATAACCTCAGGGACAGTGCTCAGGCCATGAGTTCAAGCCCCAGGACTGGCAAAAAAAAAAAGCTGGGCATTGGTAGCTCTCACTTGTCATCCTAGAAGGCTGAGATCTGAGGATCATGGTTCGAAAACAACGCAGGCAGTGAAGTCTGTGAGACTTCCATCTCCAATGAGCCTCCAAAAAAGCCAGAAGTAGAGCTGTGTTTCAAGTGGTGGAGCACTAGTCTCGAGCACAAAAGCTCAGGACAGCATCTAGGCCCCAACTTGGAGTCCCAGGACTGTCAAGTATATGTGTGTGTGTATATATGTGTGTGTGTATGTATATATATATATGTGTGTGTGTGTGTGTGTGTATATATATATATATATATATATCTGGTTGTGAGGTCTGAACTCTGGGCCTGGGTGCTGTCCCTCAGCTCTTCAGCTCAAGGCTAGCACTCTACCGTAACTTGAGCCACAGCGCCACTTCCGGTTTTCTGGTGGTTCGTGGGAGATCAGCTCTGCTCCAGGTTCTTCGAGCCTAGATAAGGAATGGCGGGGTCCAGTGTGGAGAAGGGAATTGTGGCAGGTCACGTGGGGGTGATGGTGGGATTAATGCCAGGGCTAAAACTGGGTCAGAGGGTGGTTTACTCTAAAGTCTACAAGTAGTATAAAAGCCTCTAGAGCAAGGGCTGAGGGGGCCCAGACTCCCCCCATTTCCATTCCACTGCTCCTAAGGGCTGAGCTAGCTCGGATCCGAGAGAGCATGCCTACAGCTCTCCTAAACCTCCGGGCCACCAGGTGTTGGTGGCTACTCAGGAGGCTGAGAGCTGAGGATCACAGTTCAAAGCCAGCCCAGGCAGGAAAGGCCGTGAGACTCTTCTCTCCAGTGAACCACCAGAAAAGCAGAAGTGGCACTGTGGCTCAACTGTGGTAGAGCACTCGCCTGGAGCACAAAAGCTCCCAGCACCCAGGCCCAGAATTCAAACCCCAGGAGCAGCAAAAACAAAGCAAAACAAAACCACCTGAGAAATGCGGCATGAGAGAGATGACTTTTAAATCAGTGACTGTTCAAAATGGGGGGGGGGGGCTGGGAAGGTGGCTCAGTGGTAGAGTACTTGCATTGCATGCATGAGGCCCTGGGTTCGATTCCTCAGTACCACATAAGAAAAAAGACGGAAGTGGCGCTGTGGCTCAAGTGGTAGAGGGCTAGCCTTGAGCTGAAGGACAGTGACCAGGCCCAGATTTCAGGCCCCGGGACAGGACCAAAAAACAAAACCAAAATGGGGGGGGGGGAGGGATACTGGTGGACCCATTGCAACAATGAGATGTACAAGTCATTATGTCCAAAAACGAACTTTACAACTTTGGGGGGGGGGGGGGAAGGATGGGGGGGGAGGAAGGATGGGGGGGGAATCCATCCACAGGGCAGGCTTCTGGGTGCGTATTGTGAGCATCTGAGGATCGTGTGCAAGAGACAATTCAGATACCCTCGTGTGCCCCAGAGCGGGCACGAGGAACAACTTAATAAGAACAGACTTCAGGAATCTAGTATGTTTTTTTTTTTCTTCTTCTAATTTTCCTATAAAATTGTTTACCTTTCTAGGAACGCTGAGCGTCTGATCCATGATAAAAGCCACACCAAAACTCTAGGTTCAGAGAGAGACACGAGGAAGAGATGTGGTGCCCCGCAGCTCAGTGGGTGCGTATTTACTGACTCCTCCCCAGCCACAAACAAGCACATCAAAAGCAAGCAGATGGCCATCTTTACGACGCAGGCCCACAAGCTCGGCGCCGGGAGTAGCCCCCGTGCTGGCGCCTGGGCCCCTGCCAGCGCCCTGGCTGCCCTGTGCCTGCCTTCTCTGATTTGGAGGAGGAGGGACAGAAATGGATGGGAACAGAACTTGAATTCCCCACAGCCATGTTTTCCCAGCTTGATTGGGGTCCCAGGAGGAGAGCCTGGCATCTGTGCCAGTCCTTCCTCCCTTCCTGCCACCTTAGCCTGGCTCAATTCAAACATTTGCCATTCACTCGCCCACCCCGGAGCAACCTAGCTGGCCTTTTCTGGTTGAAGTGTTTTGTGCTGGTCCTGGGGCTTGAACTCAGGACCTGAGTGCTTTCCTTAAGCTTTGGTGCTCAAGGCTAGGACTCTTACCACCTGGAGCCACAGCTCCCATTTCCAGCCTTTTCTGTACTTAATTGGAGATCCATCTCATTTACTTTTCCTAGCCTAGGCTGGCTTGGAACCGCGGGCCTCAGATCTCAGCCTCCCAAGTAGCTGGGATTATAGGCATGAGCCACCGATGCCACCTTCCCTTTCTTTTGGCATTAGGGATTGAACCCAGGGCCTCGGGCAGGCCAGGCAAGCTCTCTACCACTTGAGCTCTACTTTCATTCCTCCTGGTTTTATTTTGCCTTTGAGACAGAGTGCTCCCTTTGCCCAGTCACCTGATGATTCGCCCATCTCAGCCTCCCAAATCCCCGGGATTATAGGCATGAGCTATCACACTCAGCCTTCATACCCACGTTCTAGGAAGGGGCTTTCAGAGCCTCCTGTCTTCTGATGGTCCCTTGTCTGGTCCCTTTCATGAATCGAAAGCAGAAAGTTCTATCCCAGCATAAAGCCCGGGGGCTTTATGTGAGCCAGAGTTGTGGGGGCTCTCAGTACTGGCCTGTCACCAGAACGTGCTTTGGCTCAGGCTAGACTGATGACAGATGACCCCTGAGGACCAGATGACTGAGGAAAGCCATGAGCACAAGGTTAAGAACCTGCTCTGCAGAGGTCTAGGAGTTTCATTGGAGCTGGAGGGAAGGGAAGCAAGCTCAGAAACACGTGTGTGTGTGCGCGCGCGCGCACGCGTGCATGCTGTGTCTTGAACTCGGGGCCTACACACTGTCTTTAGCTTTTTTGCTTAAGAACGGCACCCTACCACTTGAGCCACAGCAGCACTTCCAGTTTTCTGGTGCTTAATCAGAGATAAGAGTCTCATGGGGACTTTCCTGCCCAGGCTGGCTTTGAACTGCGATCTTCAGATGTCAGCCTCCTGAGTATCTAGGATGACAGGTGAGAGCCAC